ATATATATATATATATATATATATATATATATATATATATATATATATATATATATAGGTTACGAAGAATGAGCTGATTACTCTCTAGCACCTGAGATTTGTGTTTTCCCATTTATTTCTCCCTATATATATATATATATTTTGTATATCGGGATACAACATCAAATCTTTCCGCGGAGACCGGTCCGAGAGATCCGAGCAAGAGCGAAAAAGAGAAAGCCCTCTCACCGTACCTCTTCGCGCCTTTTATTGTTAATCCTATCGCCTCTTGATTTTCTGTGGCCGCTCCTTATTGGTTCAATTTAAACGTCGGATCATAACGTCTCTACATATCTCATGCGGCACACACAACTCGCGTGACTCATCGCTCCTGACTTCTTTTAAACGCGACAATACAATACAGCTTTGCGACAGGTAAATAAGTAAATACAAATAGATAACGTCAAGACTCGATGCTGCTAAATTAACTCATCTTGGATCCCACAGTAGTAACATAAAATAAACAATAAAAAAATATCATTTCAAAAACATCTGGCGTATATTCCTTTTCCCGAAACATAAACTTTTTTGTGATATTAATAATTAAAATTCTACACGAAGAACAAATATTCTAAAAAAAAAATTACAAAAGATGTTTTGTAATATTGGACTATACAGAGATTATCACCAAAATTGATATGTTTTCTTAGCAATATTATGCATGTTTGACTCTTTTTATTACAAAAGTATTGCAATTATTTCAATGTTTTTTATTGGATAATATAAAATAACTAAACTTTATTATACCAAAGAAAAAATTATTCAATTTTTGTGCAATTACATTTAGTATAGAAGTAATACCTTATATTACATTTATAAAAAAATGGGAATTATAATATGAATATAGTAAAATTAATATAATCTGATAAAAAAGTTATGACTATAGTAAAAAAGAAAAAGTTTCGAAATATAACTTCTTATACTCTCTTATAACTTTTAATATGTTCGCAGTTTAATTTAAAATACACACGTCAAAAATGTATGAGACAAAAATCATATAGTAATATTCATAGATATTTTTTAGTAATATATTATATTCTAATAATGTTAAATTATAATAAAGCGTATATTTCGGTACAATTATTACTTAAGTGAATAAAAAAGACATTTCATATAACGCTACGTTATTTGTAAATATTAATAGATTTGTTTCTTGATGTCTGTATACAATTATTTCTTCAAAAAATGATTTTTACCATTGCTTTTATAATAATATTATATACAACCAGACATTTCAGAGAACCCTAACTAATTACAGAGTGATACAATGTTTAATTTAATGTAATTTTATATACCAAAGTAGCTTTATTTTTTACACATTATATAATATGATGCATTAAAAAACATTTTCTATTTCTTTTTTTGACAGAATGAAATAGCTGATGCAAATAAACTTTAAATTATATCCCATTTACTATAAAATTAAGAAAGATGTACATATAATATTTATCTACTGACAGAAAAAATGGTACATTAAATGACACATTAAATTGTCAGCTAAAATTGCGTCTTTTCCACGACGGTTGAAATATCGGGCAAATATAGGATCTACAGGTGTCATTAACAATCGAACGAAAGAAAATACGTAATACACTTTTCGTGTATTACGGTGCAAACAGAGACAGCTGCTGTACAAGGTGAAGCACATGTAAGCACTGCGTATAAAAAGAAACGATGGGTAGTCTACTGTGTCCAGTTTGTAATTCGTTCTGGATTCGATTCCTGAACTGCGACAAACAAGATGATGAAGTTAGTTGTTCTGTTCGTCGTTGGTGTTGTCGCCAGACGTAAGTAAACAAAATAAGATTAATAAGCAAAAATGAAGAAATTACACACAAATTATACAATTAGCGTATGTCTGCATCACTTATTTTGCACGATTTTTAATAAATTAATGTATAAAATTAATTAAAATATATAAATTTTAGCAGGCTCACAGGAGATATGTTTTAAATATATCTCCTTATTAATTTATATACACATATTACTGGCATTAATTATCACATCCTTCAATAAATTTGAGCACAAGCTCGTACAAACGCTTTCAACTAGTAGGATTTCAGATGATTTTTTTCGCTATAATTCATTTGACGCTAGTCCGCGATTTTTCAGATAAATTCCATTGAGAACTCGGTCGTCTATTGCAGTTGTACAGCGTTTCCTTACTTTGGTCTTCATTCCCTCTAAATTCCCTGTTTCTCGGTATTTTCTTGGGAATCTTGCTATCGAATTAAACTCTGCCTACTATTTCGCGCGTAAAAAACTTTTCTTTAGATAAAGCAACAATAACACTCTTCGTTTTCGGATTCAATTCAATATCTTGGCTCATTTTGGGACAAGATATAAGGCGAAAGGATTCGCCGAAGAATAACATTCACTCACATAACGTGAAAACATAACATATGGCTATCATCAGCTTCCGGTCTATGTATAGATAGCAACTTAAAGAAATAAAGGTGCCACTACAAATAATCTCATTTGCACTGAGTACTTAAAAGAGTACTTTCACGAATGAATAACTTTGCAAGATTATACAATAATTTTAATGCCAGTATCGTACATTTCTGATTCAACGCGCACGTCTGCTGATGATCAAGTGAAACTCAAGTTGAACGAAAAAGTTCTATATCATTGTACAAAAAATCACGATAATTTTTGGTAAATTAATCATTAACAAATGACATAAATATATAAGTACGCCTTGGGTTCTTTAGGCAAAGTCTCGTTCCATATGTCCGCATCTATCTCTTGGCAATGGCGGGCAATATGTAATGCAGTGGACAATGTAATGCTGGGCAATGAAAGCGCAATGCTGGAATGCACTTTGCTACAAGATTATCAATAAAAGAAATCTTGGATAAAATTTTGACTGAAGACTGAAGCGCTCGTTCTACTACATCGCATGCACTCATTCACCAATTTCTTTTCTCATAATCTCAATAATTACCACGATAGTTTAAAAGATGGTGGGTGATTCTTCTATTCAGTTCAATGAGTTTCACTTGCATACGAATATTCGGGCATCTAAGCCAGACACTTTATGTGTGCAGAAGAGTGAATAAATATCTTTTAGTGAAACATTATCAGACAAAATAATAAATTATTACGAACCTAATTATTATCAACAGAAACGTTTGGCGAAGCACCTGAAGCTATCATAGGTGGCAAAACCGCCATGGATGGCCAATTCAAATATCAAGTCTCTCTGGAACTCGAATTTTATGGGGTGAAATTCCATACTTGTGGGGGTAGTATTATTGGCCCGTCACATATCCTTACTGCAGCTCATTGTGTTGAAAATCTGGATGATGATGAAGTTATAGTACGTACATAACAGTAGTCACCGGAAACAGGAGATTCATTCGATTTTTCACTTTCTCTTAGACATATTTACTATAAATGTAATATAGAGAAATTAGTAAGAGATTAGCTCAGTTGAGGTTGCTCCGCAAATAGAAGGTCACGGGTTCTAGGCACAGAATAAACTCGCTTTGTGTATATAGAAAAATTTAGCGATGCTAATTTGATGATTTTTCTTGCCAATTTTGTAACGTCATCTAATTGATTCTAATTTAACTTATTAAAATTGCTCGATTCGCAGACAGTTATAACCGGAACCACCAGCCCGGCATTAAGAGGTGAAAGACATGAGATTAAGTGTATTCGTATGCATCCAGAATACACTGGTCAGAAGAAAGACGGATGGAAGCATGACATCGCTGTGATTACTGTAAGTCGAACTCCCAATTCTCGTTAAGTGCGTTCGGAGATGTAATGTGTATGCAACAATCTGAAATACTTTCTTCTCTAGTTGAAAAAGCCGATCCAAATAAATAAATACCAAGCTCCGATTCCTCTAGCAAGTAAAGATTACTCCACTGGCGGATATCGCGGTATTATAAGTGGATGGGGAAAGACCAGTTTGGATTCAGATTCTTCGATGATACTTAAATGGGTTGAAGTGAATGTTTTGGATAAGGAAAGTTGCTTAAA